AGAGTGGGATCAGGCCTACTTTTTATTTTCTAAAATTCACATTCTCCTTGGTTCCAAAAATGAATTGCACTGACAATGCATCATCAAGAATATGGCAAACCTTCAAAACAGTAAGTAACGGCTAAAATGTCACCTTGAAATACTATATCTTTCCTAGTAGCAAAACAATATTAAATTCATACGAGAACAGAATAATTTGTTTCCCTCAGTAAAACTTCTGATAAGAATCAGTTTATCAAGATATTTCTAGAAGAGATTTTTAGTTAAACCAACCACAGAGCATCAAGAAAGTAGGAACTGTAGGGCCGGCCCCGTGGCTCAGCGGTTAAGTGCGCAGGCTCCGCTACTGGCGGCCTGGGTTCGGATCCTGGGTGTGCACCGAGGCACCACTTCTCCAGCCATGCTGAGGCCGAGTCCCACATACAGCAACTAGAAGGATGTGCAGCTATGACATACAACTATCTACTGGGACTTTGGGGGGAAAAAAAAAGAGAAGGATTGGCAATAGATGTTAGCTCAGAGCCGGTATTCCTCAGAAAAAGAGGAGGATTAGCACGGATGTTAGCTCAGGGCTGATCTTCCTCACAAAAAAAAAAAAGAAAGTAGGAACTGTAAATCAACTGGGGCCTATTCAAATCACTGAACATTTGTGGGGAGCCCACCATGTGCTGGGCCCTGTGCAAGCTGCCGAGGGTGTAATGATGAGCAGACAGACTCAGTTCTTTTGTTTGCACTACTTAGAGTTGCTGGGAGACAATAAAGCAACAGCAAACATACACACACATATACATGTGCACATATATAATTATGAGTTTTGAAAATCTATGGGTAAAAGTGAAGAGTCCTATGGGACAAGCATAACAAGGAGATCTAATTTAGACTGGAGGGATGAGGAAAGTTTTCTGTGGAGTCCCCTATAGCTGACAGGAACTATGAGAAGGAGATAATCAGGTGAAAAGTGAGGGAGAGAGGCATTTCAAGGGAAAGAAACACATGCGTGAAGGCCTGAGTTAGGAAGGCGCTTAGCTTTTTTCCAGAACTGAAAGAAAAGCGCTGTGATAGGAACACAGTGAGGAAGAATGGTAAGCAACAGAACCCACGAGGTGGGCAAGCATTGTGCAGCATTTTATAGGTCATGGTGGGCAAATGGTCCATGCAAACCATGAGGGCATGACAGCAATTGCCTTAACGTTGAGTGTGAATTTAGGCATAATGACATCCTCAGCAGTATAAACAACTCCCCTTTATTCAAGGAGTCTCAAATAGGTTTAGTTTTGAGAATCACAGTTTAAAAATAGGAGTGATTGTGAGTTATTTGAAGAAATAGTGTTCTAGACTGGGGTCCTCTGGGTCCTCTTTAAGTGTAGGTACTAACTATGCAGCTGTGAGTTTATTTGCAGAGTGGAACCTAGAAAAGGCAGCTACTCACATGCACTGAGCATGTAAAATATCAAGCCCATGGCACACACTGCCTCATTTAATCTTCACAACCACCCTATCAGGTAGATATTATTATCTCCATGTTATAGATAGGGACATTGAGTCTCAGGGAAGGTAGCGAATGTCCACAACCTTGGAAGAGGCAAGATTCAAATTTGGGTCTCCTAGGTTTGTGAAATGTCTACTGCAGTGTAACAATTCCTCAAGGGACACCAGGAGCGTACTTGCTACTAGACCTTCTGAAATGGAAATAAAATGTCCTTGTAGAGGCCAGTAGCCTCCATTCACTTCATTTGCTCAGTCCTCTCTTTATTCATAAATTAAGGCGTTCAAGCATTTAAGCATTTGCTTAATAAGCATTAACTAAAGACTTACTAAGACACCTGATATTCCTGAGGATAAGAAAAGATGAAGGAAAGGGAAGAGGAAAGAGATGTAAGACTCAGGATCTGCCTTTAAGGAACTTAGTAGGAAAGCTAAGTCATATATACATAAATAGAAAACAGTGGAGAATGTGTTGGGTCATAAGGTAAATATAAGTTAAGATTAACTCCTGCTATGCCTTTGAAATACAGGCGGGATTTTGATGAGTAGAGTTGTGAGAGGAGAGCATTCCAAAACAGGCAGTCATAATTTGGAGGGACATTTGCTCTGAAGCCATTTCAGAACCTCTCTTCTCAGATCAACCAAGCTGAAAAGACAGAGAGCACTTTGTTCTTAACAGGAATCCATGGTTAGTTAAACAAAATGTGTGCTATATATGGCTGAAACTTATTCTTCATATCCAAAATAAAATCTATTTATCCATTTTTCAATACTTCTTCAGATAATGGAGATTTTACGTTCTCCATAGCTTTTTAAAGATTTCACTGCATAACTACCACAGCCTGCTACTGGGGAGTTAGAGAGAGAGGAAGTAGAGAAGGAAACTCCTGATTCTGATCACTCTGTGGCACTATGTACTTCATTGGTAACTCTACCTGGAAGCCACTTGAAATTCCAGCGAATCCTCTTAGGTGTAGCGTTAAGAGGTGGGAAATATGGGGAAAGAGTCTATGGACTGAGTCGAATATCATTAATTCTTGCGCCCTCAATGTGATTCCTTCTTTCTAACTCTCTTTTCATTCAGGTCAAAAAAGTTTAATAAAGAGGCATTAAAGTGAGGGAAACTTTCCAATACATTTCATTTCTTTTTTTTGCTTTAAATTCACAGTAGGTTGGAATTACTGAGTTGCTCAGCTTGATAGGATGTGGTGAGGGAAGAGTCAGGGGAAGTGGAGGTAAGACTAGACAATAGAGCCTTCAAGTATCAGACTATGGAATTTAAGTTTTCTGTAATAGGCAACTCAGAAAATCTTGGATCTTGAAGTTTTTTGTTTTTGATGTAATCAGACAAATTGAAACAGGATGGTAATTTTTTTGCAATTATAGAAATAAATCTTATACATAGAAGATGTTAAGGGTTATTGTTTGTTTTATTTTTAACCTCTTTCAAGAGCTATTATATGTTCAGTCTCTGATTTCCCTAGATTATTATTCTAACAGTACTGTTAGGGGAGTTAATCCCAAAATTAATCCCCAAAGAGTCAACAAAATTGCAGTCCAGCCAACAGATATTTACATATTCTAACTGTTCCTCCTACTAGTATTCATTTCCTTTCCCAATTTCACGAAGGAAATATTCTCTCCTGATATTTCCCTTGACATGTAAGGTCAAAGAATTAATTGTTCCTTTTCTTTTTAAGAACATGTTCAACATGGGGGTTTTTGATATCTCTCTGCAGCCCAGCCATTTTCCAAGTCAGATTTTAATAATATCATAACCCATAACCTTTTGTTTCAAAATTGCTTTTTGCAGGAAATCAAAGGTGGGGTAGTGTTTATATTAAATATTGATTTTTTTTCAAGACCCTTCTTTTTCCTACCCTTTTTCCCTCCCTCTCCCCAGAAGTTGAAAGGAGACATTAGTGAAAGGGTTAATAGCTTTAAAAAAGTCTGTTCTAAATGTTCTCTTCCATTTAGGTTGGTTCACTTTTCCCTCCTGGCTTATAATATTATGGTTTAGGACCATTTCATCTTAAATAACTCTATTTGTTGAACAATTAGCATTTCTATTTTTCAGGCCATTTTAAACCATCACATGTGTATACTAAAGTATTTTAATAAAATTATATGAATAAAATAAAATTTAATAAAATTACAATTTTGACTTTGAGATGGTCTATAAAGAAAGAGTCCAACCTAAAATAAAATAAAATTTGAAGGAATAAATTTGGAAAGTGTATTATTTTTATCTTATTTCAAATTTCTAAGAACATGATTTCATTGCATAATGTCCCATAATAATACTAATAACAGCTGTCATTTATTGAATGCCCACGTCTGCCAGGCACTGCTTTATAGAAAGAGTAATAAAAACTCCTGTGAGATAAATATTGACTTCTGAGGACTGAATTGTGTTCCCCCAAAATTCAAATGTTGAAGCCCTAACCCCCAATGTGACTGTATTTAGAGGTAGAGCTTTTAGGAAGTTATTAAGGTTAAATGAGGTCATAAGATTGGAGTCCTACTCCAATAAGATTGGTGGCCTTATAAGAAGAGAAGAAAGAGAGAGAGATCTCTCTTTCTCTCCTTGTGATGTGCATGCACCGAGGAAAGGCACGTGAGGACACAGCGAGAAGGTGGTTGTCTACAAACCAGGCTGAGAGCCCTTGCCACACTCCCACCATACCATACTGGAATCCTCTCTTGGACTTCCTACTTCCAGAAGTGTGAGAAAATTAATTTCTGTTGTTTAAGCCACCCAGTCGATGGCATTTTGTTATGGCAACCCAAGCTGACTAATACAGTGACTGTCCCCATTTTGTGGATTAGGAAGCAAACTGAGAGGTCAATGGCAAAACTGACATTTGAAACTGAGCGTGTCTGACTACAGAAGCCCACTCTTTGGATTGCCCTCTGAATTTTGAGTCCGAAAATAATGAATATAGATAGCCTTTTAAAAAAATCCCAAACCTCTCATGTGCTGTTGTTTGTTGGTATTTTTATTTTTAGTAGGTTTAGCAGATACACATAAAGCCAGCTGACTTTTTCTTATTCCTATTCATTATCATCTGATTTTTGTGTTCTAGCAGGATGTTATTATTGGAGCTCTCAGAATTCCAGGTTAATGTTGAAAAATGTAGCAAATCTTCCTGAAATTGCAATGTTGAAAAATCTAAGATTTACTATTGCTGTGTTTGCTTTTTCTAAAACATATTAAATACAAAATATCCAGTTTTGTGCCTGAAACTAATTGGCAGTGTCCCATTAAACCTTGTTAAAATTAACATCTATTAATTGGATTAGAAATTCAGTGAGAATGACAGCTGCTAGTGCCTTTTACAGTTACTTTGTTTCTCTATAATCCATATGGCAGAAATCACATAATGCTTTCTTCCTCATTGAAATGAACACGAGGTAAAAAGGTTTGACACAGTGTGGTCAGGGTATGTGCATTTGTTCTTTCTTTTTTTAAATTTCTTGTAAAAGCTGAACTATCTTTTTCTTCCTCTTCACAGGTTTTCACCAGCCATATTTTTATATCTGATTAGCATCGTTCCATCATTATGGCTTCTTGAAATGCACCATGAGACCCAGGTATGTCTTTTGAAAAGCAGGAAAGTGGAATATTCAGCAATAAACTACTTTCATATTAAAATCTGATTTGTGCCAGAAATGCACTTTTCTAAGGAACTGGAGTTATCAAGAATTGAATAAATAAGAGGCCATCAGCAAAAGGAAGTGAATCCACGATCTGTCAAAACCAATAAAAATATTATGTTCATTTAAGACTTAAGATTACATAATTAATTAACAATTTGTCTTAGAGATCTTGTTCTTAAGACCCTCCTCCAATATGCTAGAGTTTATTTACATGGTTGGAGTATGTGTAAAAATTTGGTTTTAATCCTTGCAGCTTCAATGAGTTTCTATATTGTGCTAAGAATGGGCAGGGCTCAATAATCTAGAATCTATCAAATGACATTTTCAGGAACAACGAAAACAAAAGAGAAGCCCCATAATCTGTACTCTGCTACATAAATGCAATCAAACTTAGAGGGGCTATTTGAAATAGTCTGTCTGAAAATACAGGCTTTGCAGATTACAGGAGATTCACTTTTAGGGGTCCCATGAGCTGTCTTAATGAAAGAAGAATTTTACTCTAGAGCCCAGAAATAAGGATAAAGGAGGGGAGTCATGGGACCTAGCATTGGGAAAGGTGGGCTCTACGTATTAGGACCACATTGACCTAGAAAACAAACAGTGGCTTCCAATAAGAGTCCCTAATCCAAATATATAGAGAGGTACTGATTTTTAAGTGAGTTGCTTCTTGCATGGGTAACCCTAGGTAGCAAGATCTAGACTGGATTCTGCCATTTATTGTTGGGAATGCCCTTGCACAAGACTGGGGAGGTCAGTTAGTAAAGTCCATCAAACTCCAGCCTGGATTTCACATCTTCAAGGTTCAGGTACAAGACTATGTTTTACAGATAAATCGTAGTTTTGATATAATATTATCATATTACCTTCACTGATAAAATCCTTTAGGCAAGATCTGTGAGAATTTGCCCCTATACAGATTTCTTTGCTACAATCGGTCATTTCATAGCAAAGTTAAGCCTCTCATACATGTTCCAGATATTCAAATCTTATTTGGAAAGTGCTCGCTCCAAATTTTAGGCACACAGAGGGGAATTTCGCTCTGTGCACTATTTCTGAAGAATTCCACAAGCACATACTAGTAATATAGGCTTGAAGGAAACATTTGTTGCCTTAAATGTCCTGTTTAAAAAATATTAGTCATAGGCTCTGTGTCTGTAGCGAAAGTATTTTTGTAGCAGCAGATTGGTTGGTTCAAGTTACATGGCTTTTAAGAACTGTACAATAAGGAGTTAGGGGACTGTTTCAATTTCTTTACTGCTTACTACTTTCAGGGGTATGGAAATCAGCTCTGGTGATTGGAACCATTTTTTTCCTTCCTATACAATTCTGTGACATGGCTATCCTCCACAATAAAAATTCATTTCCCCAAATGCTTTTATAATATAAATGCGTTGCACAGTTAATTGATATACAGGTCAAATCCCATTACAACAAATAGCATGCAACCAAAAGCTCTCTTTTTAATAAAAAAAGATTTTTGAGCCCCAGGCAGTGGCTCTCTAATTTTCATACTACAAAAGAAATTGGACCTTTAGTGGTAATGGTTTTTGACACTGAAAATTAAAATGAAAGCCCAGAGACTGAATTGGGCAGGGTGGGCAGAGATGGAAGTAGAAAAGGGTGAGAGAAAGAGAGGCAAAAAAGTATTGGAATTGTGTTTAAAGAGATAAGAAATGGCAGAATAAGGGGAGGTACAGCAAGTCTCTTAGTCCATTCATTTAGGAAATTTTGGTTGAGATAATAATCACTTTTCTTCGTAGAGCCCCTTTGTTTCAAAGTATTTTCAGAAACATTTTCTCATTTTTGAGCCCAACAACTCCAGAAGTTAGTCATGGTTTACATATTTCTATTTTATAGAAGAGGACCTGGACAGTCAGAAAGGTTAAGTAATTTTCTCAAAGCCACACAGCTAATCAACAACAGTTCTAGGGCTTAGAAGCTAAATCTTGACCTCTACTCTGTTAAACCACTCTGCCTTTCTCAGTCATGTGTTCTGTGTTTTAGAGGAGTTTGCATCAAAATCATCTGAATTTTTCATGACAGGAAGAGTAATTTAATTTCCTTTCACATTTTCCACTTACTCTGCATCCTAAATGTTCTAATCTATGACTTGGCATTAGGAAAACATCCTGACCTATTTCATGAAGACATTTCTCCTAGATGATCAATTCGGTACCTGCATTCCTGGATCTGGCTTGCTCTACACGAATGGAAACAAAATGGTTATGATAACAGTTAGGACCTTAACTCTTAGTCAGGTCTGTTGATGAAGTGTCATAATTAAAGCAATGGAAACTTTCTGGTCTTGATGGTGTCACAGTCTGGTTTGGCCCAAAGGAATATTTTTGAAGCTAGTAAGTGTTTTTAAGACAGAGCCCATGGAAAGTGACTTGGTGGCACCCAGACCATCTACATGAACTCACCTATACAATTCTGAATGTAAATAATATTACCATAAAAACACCACCAGTCAGGTTAGGTTTTAGGAGTCAAACCAGTTGTTCTTCATGATCTTACTGCAGCTGCCACTTAAAGGAAAGTCTCATCAATTTATAATAAATAGAATGACAAGAGTGGAGAGGGACTCAGGTCATAATATCATAATGTGGACTACAAAGCTATTTGCTACCAAGTTAACTCATACTGCAGTGCAGATAACTTTTTTTTTTAAATAACAAGATGTCTATGGATTTTTAGTGATAAGGATGTAAAAAACATATCCAGGTCACTGCTTTTAATAGACAATCTGCTTTCCTGCCTGCAAACAAAGTGGTTGAAGTTTGTTTCCTATTGACCATTTGGTTCTTAGATAGGGTCACAAAACCACTCTGCAGTGAGGATTTGTTGCTTAGTTCAAAGATTCAATTTTTTATCTTTAGTATCTTTTCTTGGAGCCTTAGCTGTACCAAAAAAAATGTGTAAACAGCTATATTTTTGCTCTTAGAGATATGGCACATGGCCATTTTTCTTAATTATTCTTGTCATTTCACCCATGACACTAGTTATTTTGATGAAGGGCAGGAAAAAATAGCTTCTTGACAGACTTTTCTGTTTTTTCAAGTAGCTCATAGAATGACCGATGAAGTATCCAGAATAATTAAGAAAAATATACTTCTTACAGCTTTAGCACTGAAAAAAAAATAGTTTCTCTCTAAATCCAAATGTGTGATGTGTGGTGCTGGTGGTGGTGGGGTGTGCGTGTGTGTTTTAAAAGTATGTTAGCCCTACAGATGTTTTAAAAAATCTTCATGCTTATTTTCTTTTTTTACCCATTTGTGAAATAATCATTGGCTACAGTTACATTTTCAAGTGCCCTCCTTTTTCTCTTTTATATACTTTTTCCTTCTCTTTCTCTACCTCAGATTCCCAGCATCTGGCTGGATAAAAATCTTGCACAGATCACTTGCAGAAATTTACATGCAAAATGAAGGAACAAGAGGGGAAAATATGTCATTTATTTTAGGCCTATTGTCAAATTTTCTATAGCTTAAAGTGATTTCTAAACTGACACTAAAATGTATATTTTGGTGGGGAACATGTTAATTTATCTGGTTGTTACAGTGCTTAACAGGCAAGATTGAAAGCAATTGGATTATCTACTTAAGTAAAATGGTATTTTAGATAAAGAGGCTTTAGGACAAGAAATAAACTCTTAGTATGAATGCTCTGACCAGGATCATACATGTTTTAATGCTGTCATTGGTCGTTGGTTTGTTTTACAACTGTTTCGGGGTTCAAGAAAGGAGCCCCAGCTATCAATCCATAAATTCTACAGCCCTCCACAATGAACTCAGAGAGTCTACATCCTCATAGACTTGTGGAAAAATAAGATATGTATAGTTGACTCTCTTCTCTTATTAATTTAAAAGTGCTTTTCTATCTCAAGCCTATAATCTGATTTTTGGAAATGTTTATGCTTACTGTTGAAAGTCCACATATCTGCTCATAATCTGTTAGCTACACTGAAGCCATTTTAAACTCTATTATGGTATTTTTTGACGTATTGCTTTTTTACAAAATTCCTAGTATTGCAGTAGCCAATCTGAAGGAATGTCACAGAATACCAGCAGCAAAGAAGACTTCAATCAAACTCTGATGTCACATGAACAAACCAACAGAGCAGATGATATCATTAAGACGGTGAGAGCTTTTCCTACCATACACTAAAGGATCTAGCAAAGCATCTTTTCACTGGGTGGGGAGAACATTCTGTACACCTTTCAGTTCATTCTTTCCTAAGGAAATTTTCCAATTGTTTAATTTTTTGGCTCAAGAATTTGCAAAAAGTTATATTTTTATATTTATTAAACTTATTTTACATGCATAATAGGCATATGTATCTTATATATATTAATAGATATATTTAACTTGTAGCCCTAAGGAACTTTTAACACTTAGGTCAGATAATATATGCACAAAGAGAGATACATATATTTGTGAAGGAATGATTTAATTAAAAGATGGAGATCTGCCCTATGTATTTTTTAGAGTGTTTATCTTAATAAAATAGGGAAGGTTTCCAGCCAAAATAGAATCGATTCTTTGTTCTTCACATGCCTGATATTTGGCAAACTAACCATGGCCTATTAGAAAATGGTACACAAGAGAGACTCAAGGCCAACACGCCTACCACTGAACCGTGTTTCAACAGTAAGATAGGCTATCCATTCTATGAGGTTTAACAGAAGTAGCCTTGGGTTCTAGTTCAAGTTCCAATCACCCTTTGAACAAATCACTTAATCTCTCTGTCTCTCAATTTATTATCTGACAATTGAAAATATTAACATTTACCCTGCTGGTCTGCTTTCTGTGAGAGTTAAATAAGATGTATGTAAAGTCTCCTAGAAGAAAAGTAAAGAAGTGTGCAAATGAAAGCTTACTGATCGTCTTGCATGGCTTCAATCATGTTGACATCCTGCCTCGTCTTTTATCCACCCTTCACTTTTATACTTGACATGAGCAAGTAATCAAGAGGCATAAATAGATTTCGCACAAACATAGTCAAGTCACTTGTATAAATCAGGTGGAATCACTATCCAATCCACTTGTGACCTATGCCCTTGTAGTCTTTAAAAGATCACAACCTATAAGGGCCAATAACATACTTTAAAACTTATTTAGAAGTTAAGTGGTCAAGAGACATCATCCAGAATACATGAATGGGAAGTAAATTTTTCTGAGTCCAAGAATAAGGGCAGAATAAAATTTAGATTCTAGCTTATGGGGCTTTGAATAATATGTTAAATATTCAGAATAAAAATAATTTTATAGTTATTCTCTTTCTTCACATTTAGGTAACGAATAAACATTTTATATATTTTCTTATTTGATATGGTAATGTTTTAAAGCAATAAAAAACAAAAGAGAAGATTTGTACCACACTAAAATATTCCCAGATTAGTAAATTCAGACTTGAAGTCTCTGAAAGAAAAATATAGGAATTTTTGTGTTTTTAATATGGGATTTAAAAATTTTTGCTATGTGTTATACTTTGCTACAGAGTATAATAAATTGAGAATTGATCTTTAAAACATTGTAAAATTGGCTCTTTAAATATCATATGGCACAATCCCACTAGCAAATGTAAGATTTAAATTACTTCTAGTTATAAAGCTACTCCATTTTAAGGACCACGTTAGTTTTTTTTTTTCAGTGTTCGGTTGAAAGGAGTTTTGCTTTCTTTAGTGAGTGAAGAATCATTTTCTGAAAATGACCTTCCGTAAAAGCTAACTCTTGATTGAAAGCCACGGTAAGAAGGCCTCTCTCTCCAAGGTGGTAGCTCACACTCCTTTTGTCTGCCTGACTTTTCTATTCAACAGGCCAGAGTTTTTGTAAATAACTTATCCACAGTATGTGAGAAAGTTTGGACTTTGGGCCTCCATCAGACGTTTTTGTTAATGTTAATAATTGGAAGATGGCTTCTACCCATCGGAGGCGGGATCACTCGGGACCAGCTCTCTCAGCTTCTCCTTCTGTTTGTGGGAACAGCTGCTGATATACTAGAGTTCACCAGTGATACCCTAGAAGAACAAAATGTGAGGTAAGCAGGCCCTGCAGGGGAAAGACCTTCCTTTCAAGGTCAGGCCCACACACCTATCTCTTTGTTCTATCATTTATATTCTGCATGAATAAGGATTTTCAGTATATCAAATGTCCAGTGGTAGAATCACAGAATTTGCTGCTCTTTAGATACGTATTACATACCAGCCCAGTTTATAATTATATGTATAATTACATATATATAATACACACACACACACACACACACACACACACACACACATATAAAGGAAGTTTCTGCTAGAGAAAAGGGGCAAATAATATTTCCCATGGGTAGGAATAGAAAAGCTCTGCATGTCTGCATGACCACAAGTTAGGTGGAGCCATGGATATCTGAAAACCTTCTGGAGGTTCAGTGACCCTCCCTGGGTCCTCTTTCACATTCTCCAGTGTCCAGGAATGTAGCCAGTCATAAGACTCTCTTCTAGAGCAGAGCATAGCTGCAAGTCCAGGAAAGCACCTAGCAGAGACCTGGAGAAATGTTTCCACTAGCCATTTGGGGAATTATATTCCGTGGTGTGAACGGCAAATTGGGCAGATTAGGTTTTATTTTACTAAATTTTATTTTTAGTCAGTTTTGTTCAAAGTGCCCAAAGGCTTTCTGGTGTAGATGCCTATAAATTAAAACTTATTGAGTTGGTACTTTTATTTTTTGCCACAAGCAAATAAGCTCAGAATCCATGATCACATCTGTTTGTGGAACTACTTTCTTACCTTTAGGGATTTAGGTCTCAGTGCCTGAATGTACTTTCAGCTTGGGTTGTTTTGCACAATGCTATAAAAATAAATTGCAATGAGGCTGGCTTTTAATGCTACAGTTTACTTTATGTTATGTTTCTCAAACAACGAAACATAAAGCTGAGCAAAATACACTAACTTACTCAGTAAACTTAATATCCCAATTATAGCACAAAGTATATCTGTAATCATCGGTTACCTTTACATGATAATTTTCAGTTTCATTTATACTCATTTTTCTTATACCTTATTAAGTAGACATAGAATTTTAAAAAGAATTCAAAATAAGTTGATTCATTGTCCTCAAAATGTTGATTTTAGTTTTGTAGCTTTAATACCTTATATTTGTTCAGTGCTTTACATCGTATAACAAATGTTCAGAAACTTTAGGACACTTATAGTATGATGAGGTTACAAGAAAAACACGAAGAAATCATGACCAAGCACATAAAAACAATAAATAACTATAGGCACAGTGATGGGGAAATGAGAATATAAAGATGACTACACCTACATAGAAATAAACACATTCATGCTAAATATCTAGGGAGATGGGAGGGATATAGGACAAGAAATGAGGTATTCAGGAGGGATATATTTTGTGGGGCTGGTAATAAAAATGTGAGAAATGCCAAACTTGGCTATTTAATGGTATGCTTATTAGGTCCATCCACAAGTGACACCAAGGGGCATTTTATAGATCCGTGTTTGCCACTAGATGTTGAAATTAAATAAGTTAATGATTAAAATCTTAATTTCCCAGGGGAAAAAGAAAAAAAAAACCTTGAGAATCACGAGGTATTCATTCATTCACCAGCTATTGATCGATTATCTAGTATGTGCCAGGCAATATGTTGGTGAGACACTGGGGAGCAAATGGTGAGCAAGTGATGAGAGAAAGGACACACAGTCCTGTCCCAGCCCAGGCAATTTCAATTCAGCAATTTCTTCTGCCACCTACAAATTAATCCAAACGTTTCATAAATCTTTTTTATTTTCTCATTTTAAAGTTGTATCATGTCCCAAGAATTCGATAAAATAAACTATGCCATGGTTTTTGTTTTTAAATTTCTTTTCAAGTTTCATGGTCTCAGACTGAAGTCATTTTATTTTTAACACAACTGTGCTGTGTCAGTGACCTTCTGTCATCTCTACTCCACTCCTGTATGTCTCTATCACTACTCAAAGACCCCAAAATCAAGGCCCAGAAAGAACCTCAAGTTTTTTCTCTCTCTTAAAACCCACCTCCCGAGCTCTGATTTGCTGTCTCAGGCCCCGTCTATACTGCAAGAATTGACACTGCAAATGTCTGTCTTTTCAAAGATGACACAAACTCTCCTCACTTTTGGCCTCAAAAAAGACAATCAATCATGAAAAATGAATTTATTATACATGCAAAAGATGTTTACATGTAATAGCAAAAAGGGTTACTTCATTATAACCTATTTAGCATTACCTATTATCACCACATTTTATTTTCTATTTTATTTTATTCCATAATTTGGGCTGATAAATTTAGGAGAAACCCTGCAATGATGTCTACATCACAGGATGTTTACCCCTCTTTCTTGCATCCTGGCTAATACCTCAAAACCATTTTTTTTAACCTAAGTCAGTTTCCTTCCTTATGCCCACATTGAAGTTTATCTGCCTAATTCTTGTGAATTTACATGGACTCATGAGATGCTGTTAATTTGTCTTAAAACCTTGACCTTACACACCATAAAATTCAACTACTGTGATTCTGTGGTTCAATGATATTTAGTGAAGTTATAGATTTGTGTAACTATCATCAGAATCCAGATTTCCAGGACTATTTGCAGTCAATTCTCACTCCCACTACCAACCCTCGGCAACCACTGATATGTCTTCTGTCTCTATAGATTTTCCTTTTCTAGAAATTTGTTTCTTCTGTGGCACATCTGCTAGCAACAAATTCTCCTAGTCATTCTCCAGAAATGTGTTTATTTTGCCATCATGTTTGAAAAATAGTTTTGTTATATATAGAATTCTTGGTTGACAGTTTTTACTTTAGCATTATATGTATATCATTTTACTATCTTCTGGCCTTCACTGTTTGTGATGAGATGTTAGCCATTGTTTTGTTGTTACCCTGTACACAATAAGTCATTTTTCTCTTGCCGTTTTCAAGATTTTTTTCTTTCCCTTTGACTTTCAGTAGTTTGACTGTGATGTGTCTAGCTGGGGATCTCTTTGTCTTTAATCTTACTAGGCTTTGTTGATCCTCTTGATCTGTAAATTAATGTTTTTCCTCAAATTTAAAAATTATCAGCCATTATTTCTTCAACCATCTTTTCCACTCCATTCTCTCTTCCTCCTTCTGGGATTCCTATTACAAATACATATGCTTGTTTGTATTTCACAAATCCTGAGGCTCTGTTCATTTTTCTCCCATCTGTTTTACTCTATGTTCTTCAATTTAATCATTTCCATTGATCTATCTTGCAGGTCACTGATTTTTTTCTCCTACCATCTCAAATCCACATGTAGAGTCAAATTGTAGAGTCCACCTAGTGAATTTTTCATTTCAGTTCCCATAATTTCAACTCTAGAATTTTTATTTAATTCTTTTTCATAGTTTATATTTCTTTATTTAGATTATCTATTTGTTGAGTCATTGTCAGCATATTTTTCTTTAATTTATGGAACATTTTTTTTTTTTATTCTTTGAACATATTTATAATAGGTGCTTTGATGTCTTTGTCTGCTAAATCCAACATGTGGACCCCTTTAGAATCAGTTTCTATTGATTTTTGTTTTTCTGAGTATGGATCACACATTCCTGTTTCTTTGCATATCTCATACTATTTTGTTGAAAACTGGACATTTGGATTATATTTTGTAGCAATATATTATCTCTGGCTTCCCCCCACCCTCCAGCTTCTTGTTGTTTTTGTTGTCTCAATAAATTGCCTGAACTTAATCTGAGTAATCTATCTCCCCTTGGATGGTGGCCGCTAATGTCTCTGCTCTGTTTTTTATTAATTTGTTATTCCTATTTTTGTTTTTAGCATGACTTGTGAGGGTCACACCTATAACCGCATAGGTTATGATCACCCAATGATGTGGGCAGTGTTTGTGACCAAGCATTTTGAGCCTTTATGACTTTCACCCTCTGCTAATGGATCTGTGTATGGGTTGGATAGCGCATTCAAAGTTCATAAGGTTTTTATATACACGTTGGTTTTTAATTTCTACTTGGCTTTCTTGGGTCTTCCCTGCACATGCCTGGCATACATGGAGACCTCATCTAGCCCTTATAAGTCTCTCTTATTTTTGGAATCTCTCCATTAAATTTCAAGTTAGTCCCCCGCTCACCCCAACTGGGACTGCAACCTCAAAGTAGCAAAGCTGTGGGCTTTCCCATTCATTTCCGAATTTGTTCCTTTTCCTGACCACACCTCTAACCATGGGATTTCACACTCCACTGCAAATCAAGTAAGCACACTCTGGCCACAAGGGGCTTCTGTTTTCATTGCCAAGTCTTTCCTAGTAAAACTACTGCTCTGGCTGACCGAGATGGCCTTAACATTTTCCCCAGCTTGACTAAACTTTGGAAAGGTTTACTCCTGAGTATAGGCTTCTGATCTCCCTTTCCTTAGAATATTTACTTTAGAAAACTTGAAAGTGTAAATTCTTTTCTGCCCCTTTGAGATGTAAGTCTTCTCCCAGGCTCTTTCCAGTTTTACCACCCAAGAACGTCTTTCTCAAGGATCTAGGAGCCATCCCTTTGAAATGTGATCCTCAAGAAAGATGGCATCCTATCTCCCACTCTCTTTGAGAGGATAGGAGCCTAACTTAGAGCAGTGCCAATTAGCAAACACAGATGTCCTAATCACATTGACCAACCTCCCTCTTTAATGTCCTCCAATACTTTCCCAATAGTTCACCCCAGTGCTTAATTCTCCTGCCTTTTGTTTCAGTGGGGATGAATTCAATCTCTCTCACCTTTTGCAATAGTCTCTTTCTCCTATTGTAATAGTCTTGAATAAAGTCCTCCTTGCCTGTTTAGCTTTGTCTGGTGCAGTTTTTCTTCAACATAGCCAAACTGGATGGATATGAGCACAAACATCCCATGGGCAAGAATGTCTCAGACTCCCACTCTTCTTAACTGACGTTCTATCAGCTTTTCATGAATAAATGTTACTCAATTTGTTATTTGCCTTTGGTTGATTTCCAGAGACCTGAAGTAGTTGTTTTTGACAATTTTGTCCAGTGTTAACATATGTTTGCTGGGGAGAGGATTTGCTGACCTTTTCATTCTGCGACAATCACCCTCCAACATTTTAAGAAGTCTGAATTTCAATATCATTGCCTAGAAGAGTTGTGATTATTTATAGCTTTGGAGATCACTCTTTGCAGTCTTTTTGTGAACATAGATCATTTATTAAAAAGAAAAAAAATATGTTCCCATAGCAGTACTGTTACTTCACTGTAAGCATTTGACCACAAAAAGTAGAATTTTCCTATGTTTACCCTGTGTTTTCTTTTTACTTAGCTCTTTTTGCTTGGTGAAACATTTCTTCCAGGCTAGATTAATACTTCCTTTTCTTTCTGTTTCTCAATCTCCTTTATTTTATTTTTATTTTTTTTTGCTGAGGAAGATTCACCCTGAGCTAACTTCTGTGCCAGTCTTCCTCTGTTTTGTATGTGGGTTGCTGCCACAGCATGGCCACTGATGAGTCGTGTAGGTCCGCGCCTGGGAACTGAACCCGGGCTACTGAAGCAGAGCACACTGAACTTAACCACTAGGCCACTGGGCTGGCCCCTCACTCTCCTTTATTTTTTTCCCTTCTCTGAAGAGATTTGTTGGATGCTCTTTTAAAAGCTAGATGAATTCCTTCCATTGATTATCTCTTATCTACAGGAATATTTACACTTCCAAAAAGAAATAGTTAAGCAAATTAGTGATGTATGACTTTATTTTTAATTTTCACTCAACAGATTTGAGCTACCAAATGCCAGTCTTTTATCCTCCCAGTTTTTCAAGTAGAGAAGTGATACTCACATCTATAATTATTCTTCTCAAGATCTTTTGTCTTTTTATGAATAGGGTCCATTGTCTGCTTATATGCTTCTCAGTTGACATTTATGAAGACAGATTCCACGTGAGAAAATAGGGAGAGACAATTGGGGGAGACAGTTACACAATGGAGACAATGTTGCATAAATTCACTCCAAAATTCCTTCACAAATTTTGAGTGTTCGCCATTTAAGCTCAGTGATTTATTTACATTCTAACGTTTAACTTTCTTGAGTAACTTTTACCATCTGATTTAATAATACAAATTTGTCTGCTTCCAAATTCTTCTGGCCAGCTTGTCCAAAGTTATTTTTGACAACTTTACTAATATGTTTCTCAACACCCACATTCTCCCATATTTTGTATGTGCCCAGATAATACTTGGATGCAAAAGACATAGATTCATTATTGTAGGGTAGGAATTTGGCTTATTTAGGGCTAGGGTTAGTTTATTATCTATCCCTATTTTGCACAATGATGAAATTAAAACACAAGGAGTTTAAGAAGTATGTTCATATAATAATAATAAAAATACTACTACTATTACTACTACTACTACTAGATAATGTTTATTTGTCACTTGCTGTGTTCCAAGCACTGTTCTAAGGGTTTTAATTGTGATAACTTGTTTAGTCTTTACAATAACACTATGAGGTAGATACTATCATTATCACCATTTTATAAGCTGAACAGTGGCAGGCAAGAGAAGTTGAGAAAGTCTCAAGGTTATGTGGTAATAACAATAATAACTAACGTTTAGTGAACTACCATACTTAGTCTGTATCAAATGCCTTTCTAAGAGCTTTGTATGTTTAACATATTTAAACGACATACTGAATAAAATTATCATATAAAATCCAACAGTTATTATTATCGTCATCTTCATATTGAAGATGGATAAACTAAAGCATGTAGATGTTAAATTACTTATTCATATTCGTCTAGCTAGCAAAGGATCAATTTGGGATTGGAGGCCCACATCCTATCTCTCTGGAGAGGACTGGAGCTGGTATTTGAACTCCAGTAACCTAGCATCAGAACTCATGCTTTACTTCTGCTTTCTGCTGCCTTGCAGACAAATTGCACATGAGTTTTTGGTAGAATTATTGAAGTTTGAGATGAGAAGAAACTTCAAAAGTGACCATCTATTGAAAAATCTATTTTACATCTGTTGCAAAATCCTCTCCAAAATTTTCTTACCCAGTTTTTGTCCAGATTTTCTTTGAAAATTTTCACTAATAGAGAATATACTAACCCCAGGGGCAACTCATTCTATTTTGAGTTCATATTATTAGAAAGTACTTTCCTCTATTGTGATGAAATTTGGATTCTTATAGGTGCCACTAAAATCCTTTGAACCTGAATTGGCCCTCTGAAGTCACGAGAAATAAGTTTAATTCCTTTTCCACATGATAGCTCTTTAAATGTATGAAATCAAAATTTTAAGGAATCTTCTCTAGTTTTCAGTTTCTTGAACTATCTCACATAGAATGTGGCTCTGAGTTCTTTCACCATCCTAGTCTCTCTCCTTTGGACCAAAAACTTTATAAATGTTTCTCCTAAAACATGAAGCACAACACATAATATTTCAGATATATTCTGAAGATCATAGAATAGAGCAGGGCTAAAACTTTACATTTCCTTCATGGAAATAGTATAGTGTAATGGTTAAAAATGTGGATGCTGTAATCAGCTATCTAGTTTTGATTTCTGCTCCCAACACTTATAACCACATTGCTGGGGACAAGTTTCTTCCTCTCTAAGCCTCAGTTTCCACACTGGCCAAATAGGAATAAGTGTACCTACTTGGTAGAGTTGGTATGAGGATTAAGCATGATTATAGAGTTCAACACTTAGAAAACTGCCTGGCACATAGTACGAACTCAGAAATTGTAGGTAAAATTATTTAAAAAATCAGGCACTTATTTAAGGTCTACTATATATAGACATTGACATTGCAATGAGGGAAAAGTTACAGACTGCATTCCCTAGGCATTTCCACTTAAAATTCTAGACTTTATACTTCTTGTGATGCAACTTACGATTGCATTTTATTTTGGAAAATCATAAATCATGTCACACTGTGGACTCATAATGAGATAATAGTAAGGGAAAATCCTTGAGCCTTTTTTATGGCTGCTGCTATGAAATGCTACCTCTGCTATCCTATTCTAGGTCCTCCAGTTACATCCTGTTAAGATCTTTTGGGATCTTGATTGTGTCTTCGGGGGTATTGGTTTCCTAGCTAAGCTCCATGTCATATGTGCATATGAGAAGCCTTCCATCAGTGTCGGCAACCAAGTCACTGATGAAATGTGAAGTAGAACAGAATCAAAGTCAGAGCCTGAAGCAACCCATTAGAGAGCTCCCTTTGGGGAGTCATTTACGCAGTTAGGAATTCATCTAACAGTACTCACACCCAGAACATTTCTTAATCTTGTTAATAAGAACACTATGGGAGGCTTTTTCATAAGCCTTGTTTAAATCCAGATGTCTATTATTAATTATATATCATTACCTGCTTGGTAATCCTAACTCTATTTAAAACAAGAGAGAGAGAAAATAATCTTGAATGCAAGATTGTTCTTAGGGAACTTCTGCTGATTCCTAGTAATTACTGTCGTCTTCTATAACGGCTCTCAGAAATCTTTTAAATAATAATTTATATAATCTAACTAGGGATTAATAGTAAATGTGCCTTTTGTAGTTTAAGATATATTTCTGCTTCATTTTCAAAGTTAAGACTTCATTTTTTTCGTTGCCAACCTTGTCTCCACCATTAACTGCCAAGGCAGATGATGATGGCTTCGAAATCTCATTTACAAATTCTCTTAGAGTTTTGAGATCAGTTTTTTCAGGGCCCCAACACTTGAAGCACTTAAAGATATCCCTTACAATCACCTCATTTGGTTTGGTTTCAATTACTCTTCCCTGATGCTTTTCTATTCCTTTCCAATCTGAAAATCTCCCTTGACAGAGAAGTTGGCAACAAAACCTATTATTACACCACTAACCTCAAATTGATAACTTCCTTTATATTTTGCTAAAAAAAATAAAGTTACTTTGATACTTCTTTAATATCCTGTGTATTTTTGTAACTTATATTCTTTCTGACTTTAGTCTTTGAGACCATTCTCCTGGGTCTATGACATTTGTATATTTGCCAAGTATGGGTCCTTCCTTTGTACATTCACCAGTTCCTTCCACAAATATTTGTGGAGTGCCAGGCGCTGTTCTAGACACAGGGGATACAGTGGTGAATGAAACAGACATATTCCTTGCCTGACATTCTAGTTTCTGGTATAAATCTGTTTTTTGCCTTTATCGCCCCACGTTTGTTCCAATCGAGGATAGCTTTCTTTTACATGCCGAGCTTTTAATTTTTGAGCATCATCTAGCCCTTATGAGATGTCTTTTTAAAGTCTCGGGATCTTTGAACAACTTTCACTTTTTTCTCCTTGAATTTTCTTGAAATTAGCCCTCTGAATGTCCAGGTCAATGTCTAACTTATTTCCTAGCATTTCTCTCCTACAATGTTTCCACGATTTTATAAGACTAAAAACAGCAATATTGGCTTTGCTATAATTCACACGGATGTCGGCACATGTCAGGTTGGATTTTAAGGCTCAGATTTTTTGTTTTTTTACTTCTTTTTCATCTTTGCATTATAATCATGCATGGATTTTTCATGGATTTCTTATATCACCAAGATATCTTGACAACTCTCAAGAGGTTTATTAGGGTATACTCAAATATGAGCAAAAAGAGAAAAGATTTCTCTTTTCTGCATGTGATCATATTTTTTATTACTAAGTTAAAATTTTGTCTGCAATCTAGGAATAGCCCTTCACTGGTCTATGCCATCCTTATTATTTGGACCTGGAGCATGCTGCAGTTTCCACTTGACCTGGCAGGTAAGTGTGTTGACGTTTGCTCAAAGAAACAGAAAATTACAGATCTTGATTATAAACTGTACTAAAGTTAAGGAGGCATTTGAGAGGATTACCATTTTCATTGTTTTGAATTCTCAGTGTTAGCTCCAGTTCAGCTTAGAAGAAAAGTAGATTGAGACTGGAGAAAGCCACAAGCAGATCTACTCCAGTACATGGTGAGCCTGAGATAGTTGGGTGGATAAAAGCACAGCTGCACGTTCACATTATTCAATGGTTCCATCACTTATGAGTTGTAAAACCTCCTGCAAATTGGATGACTCATCTGCACCTCAGTTTTTCATCCATGAAATGAGATTGGTAATCATAGTAGCTAGGGTAGAGGGCTCTGGTGATGACCAGATAAGATATAGTTTGTAGAGTACTCAGCACAGTCGCTGGCATATGAATGTTATCTCCTGATATTTTTAAGAAGTCATTTTCATTTCTTTGTCAAACCCAAGTATTAGAACATCAGAGGGAGTACGAGCAGTTTCAGGGCCACACGGAAAATTAACATTTTCCTCAGTAGTGGCACTTGGAATCCTGGTGGTCTTACTTAAAGACATAAAGCCCTAAGACTTTGCAAGAAGTAAACTGTGTTCCAGGAATTTCATACTAGTGATGATCTGGAGCTGCATTGTCCAACATGGTACCTACTGGCCACATGTGGCTATTTAAATTTAAATTCATAGAAATTAAATGAAATTAGAAGCTCGTTTCCTCAGTCACATTAGCCACATTTCAAGTGCTCAATTGCCACATACGGCTACCATATTAGATGGCACAGATATAGAACATTTGTATTACCACAGAGGATTCTGTTGGATGGGATTGATCTGGAGTCATCATATAACTTCTAGATACCCTGGAACTTTGATTTGGCAGTTCTCCTGGATGCCACTTTACTCTGAAGAAATTCTAGGATTTAATAATTACATTTTCCTTAAGTCTGGCTTCTTTTTTATGGCACCCTACCTGATGGCCTCAGGATTAGAATTAATCTTAGGACAGGGATATTTAATTTTTTCTGCATCTTTTTTGGCTGACTTTGATAGGCCCAGAAGTTTCAGAGGCCATTTTAGACCTTAGCATCCACTTTCTGAAAGAAAATTGTCACCAGAAGAGATTGAAAGAGTGGCTGTGGCTTTTTTAGAAATACCAAAAACCTAATTACTAGTTAATAATTACGAACAAATGTCTGCCAATAACACACATGCGTGCGCACACACACAAACACACACACACACACAAATTTTGTCATGCCCTAGAGGGTACTCTACACCCATTGATCAGCTGATGTCTTCTGACAGAATATTAGGCACCACCACTTCAGATGTCAAATAATAGTGTTAAGAGATCCCCTGGGAGTTATTTCCTGACCCTCACGTCTTAGGAAAGGCTATTATTGATCTTATGTTGGTTTTTCTTTTGTCATTCGCTCTGCTGGTCCTCACCCTTCCATCTCTTGTGGTTTATAGCCTTGCTAAGAAAAATTTTATTTAAGAAAGAAATTCTGTAAACTTTTGGGGTGATAATATTATGCAGCTGTTTGTAAAACAAAGACCAAATGTTACTTCTGACTAAATCACTATTGTATTTTCCAACAAATAGTACATTATGTTCACCCATTTCAAAGCAGCTTCATAATATTTGCAGGCTCCAGTAGATGAAGGCATTCTTTGTTTGAAAATTCCAAATGGAAGTCTTCATTATTATTAAAAGGATTATTTTCTGCCCTTGACCTTGAATTAAGTTGACATTTTAGAAATTAAAACAAAAAGGTTCATCTGTTCATTTAACTGGAAAGTCAGTAATTATATCCAGTCTTCCTTGTAAACTGTGAAACAAAACCATAAGGAATTAGAAAAAACAAAATAACAATGGCATTTATTGGGGCCTTTTTCCCCCACCATTAGAAAAATATGTTTAACATGAATTAAGTTCAAATTTGAATATAAGCACTTGAGTTTTCACAACACAGTTTTCACATGTGGCCCAGTGAGTCAACCAGTAAATAGGAAAATCCCAAAGAGAGGATCCAGAAGGATCTGGGCCACGTATACTCTGTCCCGTCTCCCACAATTAGCAGTCAAGTAAGTCATTCATTATTCCAAGGGAAAGATAGAGTGAGAGAGCAGAGAGGAGCCAGGGGTCTGACTCTAACAGAAACAAAAAGAGTCAGTGAACATGCGCCTCCTGTTTCCTCACAGATACCATGGTTTTGCCAGTTTTCAAAGGAGGAAACCGAAGCCCAGGCAGGTTAAGCAAGCTGGCCAGCATCTTGCTGCTGGAAGATGAGGGAGCCAGGAGAGGCAGCGAGGCTCCTTGACTTGAGGCCTAGTGCGCCCTGCTATGCTACCTCGCATCACTGCAGACCCCAAGGGCAGACATGGTAGTTTCTTTTGTTCTTTGTTTTCTCGAGCTTAGTTAATTGTGCTTTCCCCCTTGGAGGACTAGAAGGTGATCTAAATTTTTGGACATTGATGTACATATGAGGACTGGCTTTCTTTGGTGTGTTTTATTGGAATTATAACTGATTACCAATTTTGAATATAAAATGACCGACGATGTTAAATGGTTAAGCATGGTTAAGGGTGATGTGAAATGTTAAGGGTGACTTCACTTGTACCACCCAGAATTAAATTACAGAATCACTCCCAGTCGTTGACTAGCATGGCGCCCATTGTTGAGGGCTTGTCCTCATTTCATTCTGTCTTACTTTTCCACATTTCAGAGAGATATATTAACCGGTCTTTCTCGTGTTTTCAGTCAAGTACGTCATGTGCCCCTTGTCTGTGACATCGAGGGGGTTCCCCAGCCTGTTCTTTTGCCAATACAGTGCCGATCTCTGGAACATTGGAATCAGCATCTTCATACAAGATGGTCCCTTCCTTGTCGTGCGTCTCATACTGATGACCTATTTCAAAGTGATAAACCAGATGCTGGTGTTCTTCGCTGCGAAAAATTTCCTTGTGGTGGTGTTACAGCTCTACCGCTTGGTGGTGCTGGCGTTGGCTGTCCGTACTTCCTTCCGAAATCAGCGAGGAGGCCTGAAAGAACAGCACAGCTGCCCAGGTGGCCCAGCTGCGAGTGGGGCATCTCCTGGGGACTGGGATGGTGGTTCTAAGGAGGGCTTGGCTATTCCTTTGCAGGCCTTGCCAGACACCTCAGACGACTCTCACCTCACACCATAGTTATTTATTGACAGCAGCATGCAACTAGAACATTCGACTTTCTGGTTCTTCTTACAGACAGAATCTCCCTCTCTCTCTCTCTTTTTTTTTTTCACCTTGGCATATAATAATTTTCAAAAGAACAACATAAAAAGTGATCTTAAACCAAAGCTTAGGAATTTTCTTTTTCAACTGAAAGGAAAGAACTTTGATTAGCGGCTCAGGCTACAACTTCTGTGTGATGGTATCAGATGTTACAGTTGTTCAACGACTAAGTGATTTGTTTGTCTTGAACTGTTTGAAAAGCTATGGACAGGGTTACAGTGACATGCCCTCAAAAGATTTAGTGCAGACAAACTGTCGCGGCTGTTACCTGAAAATAGAGAAGCTTTGAACTTCGGCTCTATTGTCAGACTATCTCATCTGATCTTTTCTGCAATGTCCCTCTGACATCAAAAAATGTACATTCAGTGAATGCAGAACAAATGAAGGGAAAAGTGCCTTTAAAATTACCTCACTGTGGGCTGGAAGCAGTGAAAATCTCTGCTTAGCTTCCATAGCATCGAGAGCCTTCTTCATCGCTGCACAGACCTTCCCAGGAAAATCATTTTTCTGGGCTGATGTGGTATTCTGTCATGGCGCATGTGCTCTTACAGAAATTTTATTGCTTTTGTCTTGGGCGTCGCAAAATTCACAGCAAGCCATTTCGGTTACAGATCTACTGGTTGCGAGGCAGGAAATACTGGTAATGCTAGCAAAGTCACAATTTCCACCCAGAACATGATTTGCGGTATTCGTCAGTATTTTTCTCAACTCCACTTTACTGTCTTCTATATTGCCAAGTCGAATTATGTGGGTTGATGTAAGGAAGCACCGAAGCAGTGAAAAAAGGTGTTTCAGGCCCTTTAAGTGTTACCATAGTTTCTGGGGTCTGCCAGCAGTCGCTGGAACTCCTCTGAACCGCCACTACTGGAGACAGCCTGTGGTCTCAGGGAAGACGTTGGTAATGGAGGCTCGCATCAGCCCTGTCCACGGCCAACAGCCCTTGATTAGTGACGGGGGTCAGAATATGCCCCTGCATTGTGGAAGTCAGGAAATTGGCTTTTCTTCCCTGCATTAAGATTTCATTTCCCCAGTATTGAAATAGCCGTACTTTTCTTTTGTACTTTCCAGATGGAGGTGATTCAGAACCTTTTAAAATGATTTTTGCTTTTAAAGATACAATGTGAAAATTTCCCTGGCTATCTAGCAGTAATTATATGAGGCAAACAGTTCCAAAACTGTTCTTTTGGGATTCAAAGCATATTTCCTCATTATTATTATGCTCAGGAATTCAAAGGGACATTAAAGGTAAGGCAGGGTACGACCTTACATTGGGTGTGACCTATTGACAACCAACTGGAACAATTTTATCTATAAATCTGTGTGAAAAGATATCTGTTCAAAACATGTGATAAAAAGTTTCATAGGCAAATTCTGTTTTTATACAGAGAAATTAATATTTTCCAACTAATGGCTTCTTCAGTGCCTGATATCATACGTTTCCATTTCTTTCTTTTCTTCCTTGTGTTTCTAATTTTAACAATATGATGATAAAATTACACATGAAACTAACGGAATACATTTATAATTTGCCATAATAATTTTATGAAAGTTAAGATCAGAACATTATATTTATATAAAGTAAAGAGCTTGACAACTTTTAAGAGCTTGTTATTTAAAATGCTTAGCAATTGAAAGCAAAATGATAACTGCTATTTATAAAACCGCCTCAGCAGAATCTGTTTTTATGTTGACTGTTCTCCGTTGACTGTTTTCCCCCACAACATGTATATGCTGCTTATTATTACAGATTTGCTCATGGCATACTTTTAATGTTTTAATTTTTTTCTTCCAGGAAAACAAACGTTGAGCCTCTAAAAATAGAGAAAGTATAAAGTAGTACGGCTGTTGCAAGGATATTTTTAAAGGCTTTCAAATCTGAGACTTGGCTTGGCTTCGGGAATGAGTTTCTAGTGTTGAAATATTTTGTAATTAGCACTCCTCCTCCCCCACAGACTTGGGAAATAGAAAGTCCAGAGTCAAGCTTTGCTTAGAGCGCCAGAAAGGCAAAGAGAACCCCGGACCATCTCAGCAATTAATGGTGGCAAAAATAGACACATGCTCTGCAAGCCTTTCCAGGAAAATCTGCTAAGGGCAGCGTTTGTGAACCTGACTGCCAGTACTCCCAATCTCTTGGACTCACTGTTTTTAGAGCAGGAAAAAAAATCTATATTCGTTTAGTTTATTTAAAAATAAAACCTAAGTCCAGGTGGTATCCCTAGGGCCCCTGATGAAAAGTTAAAAATTTATTCAGTTAATTGTATGTTTTTATTGTAGATTGCTAAGCATTGTAATGTTTGGAAACATCCAAGTGTTTGCTATAAAGTGGCTAGAACAGCAGTTAACCTCCCATTTGTTGACATCTTGGAATTTGCTTCCATTTTGTTTGTGATAAGATAACTGACTCAGATCGTCTGTATAATGTGATGTAAGCCATACCTCTCTACCACCCCCCACAGTCACACAGCACGCCAATCTCCAACCAGGGAAGAGAGTGGCTTATTTGTGGTTGTTCTTGCTGTTGTAATTTGTGATTGTTATTATTTAATTGCTTGGTTAAAGCTCAATCAAATGTCCTTCCTAAAAACACATCATTCCATTTGTGATAAAACACATTATACATGTTTTAATGATGCTGTGGAGAAACACACCTCATAACCACCCCGTGGGTTTTCCTTACTCTTACTGAATGCGTCTCAGAGGACATGACAACATTGCCAGATTAGTAAACTACATTTGTCTTTGATTATTCTGTTAATTTTTATTTAAGCTGGAAAGGACAACATAAGAAAATAAAAATTTGTATTTGCCAATAACATTCTTTCTAATCTTACAGAAGAAGATTCTTACATAAACTTATCACTTGGCTCTGTTTAGTTCTACTAACGTGTAGCAGCACGTCAGGCCTTATAAAGACCAGAAAGATTTGGCCAAGAAACATCAAGATTCAATATTATAATAGTAATTGTTTGGTCATTATTTAATAGAAACTTTTCAGGCACTGGGAAGGCATGCATTGTAGATGCACATGCTTTAGGATTCCCACCCGGGTTTCAGAGTACAACATTGACTCATTATCTTTGGCATTTAATCTCAATGACTCTTTATCAACTTTCCTGTTAAAAGACAGAAAGAACTGCAAACGGCCAAGCCTCTGTCCACCTTCTCTCTGTTCCAGTGCCAGGAAAGTGAGATGCTGAAATATATTGCAGAGGCTCAAAGATGTAAGTGAAAAACCAAACAGTCTTGAATTATAAGAAAAGAAGAGACTGTTACTGTAGTTCTAATTTCAGCCTTTGACTTTTACTTAGTGGACATTCTGATCCACTCTCAAAAACATCTGATTTGGGGCTACACTAGGCAGCTGGAGGATGTTTATAGCTTTGAGGCTTCAAATAACTTTCCATATGATGAGAGTAACTCTAACCAATGTTTGAATAATCAACTGCTACGGCCATATATTTTATGGGTGTCCATCCTCTGAATTTTTTTTACTAGACTATTTTATAAGAATATTTTCTCTGAATTATTTATATTTATACTATTTTGCTATGAAAGACCTTTGTATTTTCTTATAAACATTAAATAGTTTGTGTACAACTTTATTTTAATGTCTATTTTTTGCCTGCATTTCTCATCTTTGTTCTCTACTGTAATTCATTTCCTTTAGTTTTTAAGCTCTGGCTTAAAAAAAACCTGATCTATTTAGAATATGACTAAAGTGGCATTTCAAACTGGTGAGGAAAGACTGACCAATTTTATAAATGATGTTGAGAAATTTTGAAAACCATCTGGAAAAAATAAAGTTAGATTTTTATCTCACGCAATATATAGAAATAAATTCCAGATGGATTAAAGATCTAAATGTAAAAGTGAAAACTATAAAATATTAGAAGGAAACATGAAATGTGTCTTTAGCATTTGGGGAATGGGAAAGATTTTCCAAAGTAAGACATGAAACCCAGAAGCTATGAAAGAAAAAATTGACAGATTTGCCTTGTAAAAGTTTAAAATTTCTGAATGGCCAAAGGTATCATGGATACATCACTATTATTTTCTTTCCTGGAGAGAGATATCAGTGCACTTGGACGAGAAAAATGAGAGGTACAGAAATTAGAAAAGAGGACTTAGCACTCTTATTTGTAAAAGGTTGAGTCTTGAACATCCAAGAAAAGTATATAAAAACCTAAGGAACTATTAAAAATAATCTGAAATCATGCAAAAACCAATAGCTTTTCTATATATAAACAAACATCACAAAGAATATATATTTGAAGAAGAAATTTCTGTTACAATATGAACTAGAACCATAAAATACATAGGAACAAACTCAACAGGAAATGTACAAGATCCATGTAAAGAAAACTCTAAAATGATTTTGAGGACCATCAATGAATAATTTCACAAATAGAAAGATGTATTCTAAGGCCAGCCCCGTGGCTTCGCGGTTAAGTGCGCGCGCTCTGCTGCTGGCAGCCTGGCTTCGGATCCCGGGCGCCCACTGACGCACCGCTTCTCTGGCCATGCTGAGGCCGCGTCCCACATACAGCAACTAGAAGGATGTGCAGCTATGACATACAACTGTCTACTGGGGCTTTGGGGGAAAAAATAAATAAATAAAATTATAAAAAAAAAATAATAAAATAAAATAAAAACAACAAAAAAAAGAAAGATGTGTTCTATTGAGGAGTGGGAAGAAGACTTGCAATTTTAAAAAATATCAATTTCTCCTAAATTGATCTATAAATTTAACACAATCTCCATAATAATATCAATAAGATTTTAATTTTTAATGACTACACAAGCTGATTCTAAAGATTTACAAAAAAAGTAAGCATGAAAGAATAGCTAGAAAATACTAAAAGGAAGAAAAAAATGAGAAAGAATTTCCAATGTATTTATTTTATAGAGCTACAAAAACCAAGAGAATTTGATTCTGTCAGGTGGAAAAATGGAACAGAATAAGGTCAAGAAATAGACCAAAATACATAAGGATTTTGATATATGACAAATCATGGCTTGGGAGGAGATAAAATATTATAAGTGGTTTAAGGTTTGGAAAATATTAAAATGGATCCCTACCTCAATCCTTATGTCCAAAATTTTTCCAGATGGATCAAAGAATTAAACATTAAAAATAAAAAATAGAGAACTTGGGGGGCTGGCCCGGCGGCATAGCAGTTAAGTTCACGTGCTCCACTCTGGCGGCCCAGGGTTTGCAGGTTCAGATCCCGAGTGCAGACCTACGCACTGCTTATCGAGCCATGCTGTGGCAGGTGTCCCACATGTAAAGTAGAAGAAGATGGGCACGGATGTTAGCCCAGTGCCAATCTTCCTCAGCAAAAAGAGGA